GTGGAAGAAATTGTCAAATGCTTGGAAGATAATGTGAAGGATGGCATTGTCTTTAGCCAACTCAAGTCTTTGCAACTTCGCGGTCTTCCCAAACTTTCAAGCTTTTGCACAAGGAGGTGTAACTTTGAGTTCCCATCTTTGAAAGAAGCAATTGTGATAAGATGTCCACAGATGAAATATTTTTCCATGGGAAAGACAATAACAAAAGAATTACAAAATGTTCAATGGAGTGTTGATAAAGAAAAACAAAATGTTCAATGGACAAATGATGAAGAGAAAAGACACTGGGCAGGCGATCTTGACAGCACAATACAGTACTTATTCACTCAAAAGGTACCCACATTAATTCACCCACATTAATTCAAATGATTTCCTTGTGTTTTTTGATCATTATATATTAAGTCTTCATTACTTAATGTTACTAGATCTAGTGAAATAGAAGAACATGTTAATATAATATAATTTCAGAAAACATTTTTAAATAAGTTTTTTGTTGGGATCGTATGGGATAGTTTAGAGTGAAAGGTAAAGAATTGCATAGGTCTACTTTCTTCCTTTTGGATGGTTGAGAGGCTAGCCATTCTATCTTGTTTGAACTTTCTCAAAGGCAAGGAATAGGAGCACTTTCAGTAAGGGGATTAGAAGAAGAGCTTACAAGGTCAGTTGATGGCGGCTTCACTTTCACTTAGTTTCTAAATCTAATGTACATTAAAAGAACCAAGGGTTGATCATTCATTTTCTATAATCCTTAATTTAATAATCATATAGACATTAGTGTAGTGACGGAGAGGGAAGAACAGTAATTTCAAAAACTTAAAAGAAATATTTTTGTATATTTCTACAATTCGATTTTTGTGATTAACTGGATAGAGTTATTAATGTATTTTCTTTCTTTGATTAATATCATTGTTATTGTTATTGGGTTCTGTGTTATACCAAGATAATTAATCTATTGGGTTTTATAGGTTGGATACTTTGGGTTTGAAAATTTGACACTCTCCGAGTCTTCTGAGTTAATTCAAATTTGGAAAAGAAATTCGGAAGAATTAATATTACCTTTCAAAAAGCTTCAATCTCTAGAAGTTAACAATTGTAGCAGCTTGAGCTACCTTCTAACCCCCTCCATGGCATTGTGCCTTGGGCAACTCAAGAACTTGAAGATAAAAGACTGTGCAGCAATAGAACAAGTGATCATGGCTACAAGAGTTGGAGAGGTAGTTGAATCTGACTCAATATTTTTCCCACAACTAAAGTCCATTTCATTAGAGTCTTGCTCCAAGTTGTCAAGTTTCTATGTGGGAAGTAAGACCCTCAAGTTTCCAATGCTGGAGAAAATTATTATAAAGGATTGTCTAAAGATGGTTAGATTCACTTTTAAATTTTCAAGTGAGCAAGAGAAAGAGACAACTGATGGAAGAAGTGAGGAATTGCTTGTCAAGAAAGAACCTAATATCTTCATTGAGGTCTTTTTTTGTGATGAGGTGAGTTTTATTTTTTATTTTTTATTTTTTATTGTTTTAATATTTTTTCACAAATTGGACAAGTGCAAGACTTCACTACGCTTCTTTCATAGAGTATAATTTCCACTCTTCTACAAATTGAACATGTGTACTGTTATTCCTCGTAAACTAAATTTTTCTATATCAAAATTTATATCGTATGAAATTCAAGATTATGCTTTCATGTCATTTTTACACTTTTCTTTGATTCAAGAATAAAAGTTTTACTGAAATTAAAACTTCTTTGTAGGTTGAGATTCCTAACTTGGAGAAGTTGACTCTATCCTCAATCAATACAAAGCAAATTTGGAACAGTCATCTTTCACCAATATCGTCATTTGCTCAAAATTTAACAAAGTTGAAGGTGGTCAACTGTTCCAATTTGAAGTATCTATTTACATTCTCAATGGTTAAAAGTTTTGCACAACTTGAAGAACTTGAGGTTAGTGGATGTGAGATGATGGAAGTGGTAATATTGACAGAAGGGACAGTGGAAGAAGAAAAGATTTGCCAGACGGTGTTCCCCAAACTAGAGGCCTTGATACTTAATGACCTACCCCAACTTGCAACATTTTGCTCCAATTGTGATTCTCTAGGAAAAATTTCTGACTCTGAAAGAGTCAATTTTGATACCAGATCACAAAAACTGCTAGCCACGCAATCGACTTTGGTCGAAACAGAGGCCACCGAGCTTGTATTTTCTCAAGTGAGAGGGCTGATACTTAGACTCTTACCAAAATTCAAGAGTTTCTTCCCTCAAATGCACATCACAGAATGGCCATCATTGAAAGCTTTAGTTGTGATCGACTGTCATGGAGCACAAATAGTTGCTTCAGAATTTTCAAGAACTGAGATGACACATAGAGACAGCCAACTTGAAAGGGAATCTCAACATCTCATGTTTTGGATTAGCAAGGTAAGTACAATCAAGTCCAAAAGGAAAAAAGTGGACATATCTTATACAAATACATGCTCTTCATTTTTGTTCTTAAAATAAATGAATGAAAGAAAATAGGAAAAGTAAATATATGAAGACAGAATAAAGAAAATTTTCCATTTGTTTTCCCCGTGTTAATTTTATTTTATTTTGAAGATAAAGAAACAAAATTATCAGAACTTGTAAAAAAATATCTCAACCTTGTTTTAAATTCCTACGTGTAGAGATTGATCACCTTAATTTAAAAATGTTTTGCCCTCATTTTTTCTGATACTAGCAAAAATTTTGTTATCCTATCCTAATGCTATATTGGGAGTAAGCTTCATGTAATTTAATTTCTGGCCATCATGAGTAAAAAGCTATTTAAAAAATCAATTCTTTTTCATTTTAATACTCAGGTCTTTCATCTAATTTAAGTGAATAATGGTTTTCAAATTAAAAAAATTTGTTACAAGAATATTCTCGAAGTTAACCTATATGATTATATAATTAAAGATTTTTTACATAGCAATCACCTAAATAATAATTTATTGTTTCTTGAAATTGGAGTAATAGAAAAACGGAAGAATTGCAAAAACAAAACAATAATTAGGAAATAAAAAATAGATGAGTTTATGTGAGATGAAGTGATTTTTAAATGACAAAAAAATGTGGAAGTCAATTTTTATGGTTAGAAATAAGCGTAAAAATTATTTTTTTTTTCCAAAATCAAGATTTCTTGTATAACTTAGAAATAACAAATTTATCAAAGAATAATAGATTTATTTAAAGTTTGGATTGCCTTCTTAACTCGTGTCAATTTCTCAGGCTACATTTCCTAGTCTAGAACGCCTGTTTGTGAAATGGAATGACAACATGAAGATACAGTGTGGACATCATCCAGAGGAGTATTTTGGTAAACTAGAGGTTCTGCACCTCATCGGCTTTCCTAAGCAATCTGCTTTTCTTCCTCGTTTCTTCCTCCACTCCCTGCCCAATCTCAGAAAGCTTCTTGTGAAGGATGCTTTCTTCGATGAAATATTCCGATGTGGAGAAGTTACTTATGAGGAAAAACCTGTATGTGGACGCACTCCATTAAGAAATTTAAGATTGTGCAAACTTCATGAGTTAACACATCTTTGGAAGGAAGAATCCCAACTTGAAGTAGACATTCTCAGAAACCTAGAAACTCTAAAGGTGCAGGAATGTAGCAGATTGAAGAATTTAGTTCCTTCCACTGTATATTTCGACAATTTGCAGACTCTAGTGGTATCTGAGTGTCATGGACTTGTCAATTTAGTGAGATACTCAACAGCGAAAAGCTTGGGGCAGCTCCGAAGAATGAAAGTAGCCGATTGTGAGATGATAGAAGAAATTGTCGTATGTTTGGGTGATGCTGTGAACGATGGCATTGTTTTCACTGAATTGGAGTGTTTGCAACTTAAAGGTTTACCAAGACTAGCAAGCTTCTGCTCAGGGAACTGCAACTTTAAATTCCCAGCTTTGGTAACGGTAATTGTTACAGAGTGTCCAAATATGCAGGTTTTCTGTAAGGGAGAACTAAGCACACCAATACCTTATAAAGTGAAATTGGCAGGAGATATATATGAATATATGGATCGAGATATAGATGTAGATATAGAAAAAACTATAGTTGATGAGTTTCATAAAGATGATGGTGAAGATTAAGCTGGAAAAGAGGATGAAGTTGAAGATGAAAGAAGTTGGGAGGGTAATCTTAACAGCACTATACAACAGTTGTTCAAGGAAAAGGTGTGCATTGATGATGATTCCAAAGACTTCCTCATGGGTTTTTTTTTTTTTTCAACTTTTTAAGTTTTTTCTTTAACCTTTTCCTTAATCATCTAGTTAAAAGACAATGTCAAATTATAGGAAGCATCTCCTTAATTATGTTTTTTATTTTATTTAAATAGAATCCACTTCTATTAACGAGATCCAAGACACATCTAGATATGATCAATGAATTAGAGTGAAGGTCATGGTAATTTGATGAACTCCTTTTCTTTTAATTTGCTATGCAAATCAAGAGAAGCACTTTCAATTATAAACCATTTTACTGCAGTGTTTGCTTTCCCCTTTCAACAAGTTGTTTTGATGGTTACAGAGTGCTCGCAATTGTAAA